CATTAAATATGATATAGTGGATCATGATGTAAACAAAAACACACTAAGTATAAATCGCTATCCGATTACGATGTCTCACTGTCTAATGCAACATTGACTGGTCCTTCTACCGGCTAATCTGGGATGTCTAACGTGGGGTCGTGCACGTGGCGCAACGGCAGAGTGCTCGACTCGGAACCAAGAGGTCCCGGGTTCGAGTCCTGACATGCCACCAATCTTGTGCCATTGGGAAAGGTACTTAACACGACTTTCCCCAATTAACCCAGGTTAAAATGAGTATGGTCTGTCCTGTGTTTGTTTTTATGTGTGGGACACAACACCAGCAACAGCTGCCTGTCTCCCATGTGTATTGCACTGTTGCAACTTCAATAAACCAAACCATCTAATGAATCACCATTCTGTCCAAACAGCCAGCACACCCGAGGAAACACCAGAAGACACGGAGGTCGGGGAGATCAACTCTGTCCTCAAACCTGCTGGGGCGTCAGTTATACCAGCTCAGGAAACAACAGGTAAAAGAGATTTGAGGATTAACTTTGTCATATTAATAATCATTATGATAGATAAAATTATGAAATAAAGACTTTAACTGCCAACACTACAATGAATTGGGACTCATCCAAAATTCTACTCTTGGAACGTGACGTCAGAGATACGTGACCGTAGTAGCGGGTCATACGTGCCAGATAACTTGTGTCGCCCCCGTCTCTGACTTGCACCAACACAGACAGGGAACACAGATGAACTTTCATGCTATGAAAGTTTGCTAACTACAAACAAATGGTAAAACAAAATTGTAAATCTGAATGTTTCGCTGCTTCGAAGTGTCGAAATGTGAATTTAAATCCATAGATTTTACAGTACTCATAGAAAACATTATAAATCCACAGAAGATCAGACCATTGGTGACACGGAGGGTCCACAGGTGATGTCAGAACTGGTCTCACTGGACATCAAGGAACTGGAACGACTGATGGGACCTCGACGAAAGAGGACTTCCTCCATAAGCTCTGACTCATCTGGCTATGTGACAGGCACTCCAGGATCAGGACTCAGCAGACCCGACTCACCCACAGGTAAGAGGATTTAATACTAGCAAGCTCATTTAGTAGAATATTCCTCAATCAAAATTTTCGATGTCCACTGTACATCGATCTTGATCACGGAGTGACCTAGTCTCGCGAACACGAGACTAGGTCGAGACTTGTGCGGATCTACTCCGCAAGGAGGCGGGGACGCCAGAAGATCTACACAAGTCTCGGCATAGTCTCGTGCTCTCGCGAGACTAGGTCCCTCCGTGATCAAGATGTACAGAGGACATCGAAAATTTGGAGATACGTGTTTCTACCTTTCAAAACAGTCACTGATTGAGGAATATTCTACTAAATGATATTTTACGTTACTGATGAACCTCTTCAATAGATAGCATGCTCATGACTTTTACCATGCATATGTTATTTGTTACACTGATTCACAGTTGGCAGTATTGTGAAAGCTACTTGTTGCGACTTATACTCGGATCCGAATCAATTTTGTTACAATATCACAAGTTACTATTTTAAAGTTTGCAATAATCTAAAGAAGATTCTACAATGGGCAGACGTTAGGGTTAGTTTGTATCCCTCGGATATTGTGGCACACGTGGATTGCACATGCAAAATGTAATAGGGCAGCTGTAGTCGTCTTTTGCACATTTTCGACTAATTTTGTTTATGCTGAATTTTGCTGATGAAAGATCAATGTTGTCGCCTCTATTACACTGTTGAAAAGTCAATGTTTTGTTTTTGCATGTTATTTGCTCTATATCTAAAGATGAAAAAATCCAGTACAATTTATTCCTTCCATGAAATTGGAAAGGCCTAAAGGCACTAAAAGGTTCTTTCTCGGACCTGTAGGCGAGGGTGACGTCCAGGGTACACTGGAGACTCTCCTTGCTGAACTAAACAAGCCTACAGTACTGAGAGACAAGGGAAAACAGTTTGACCTGTACTGTCAGATAGGAGATCTTTACAGGACAAAACTACGCAACCCACAGTCAGCTCTGCAGTATTACCAGAACATGTTAGAGTGTTCTCAGGCACTGTCAGAAGACACAAAACAAGCCAAGGCCTACAGCAGACTAGGCGTAACATGTGATATATTAGGTCTCCAAGCTGAAGCCTTTACAAACCATAAAAAGGCTCTGGCTATCTATAGAGTAGATGCAGGGAATGAAACTGATGTTTGCATCGCTTACAAAAACCTGGCCTCATCATTGGCACTATCAGGTCAAGTGTCAGATGCAAAAACTAACTATGAATCAGCCTTGGCTGTTGCCATGGAGACAGGAAACAAGACTGAACAGATGGATATTTACTGCATGCTGGGTGACTTACACAGAGAACAGCTAGAGGAACCAGAGGTCTCACACAGGTACTACACAGAGGTGTTGGCACTGGCCAGAGACTTGGGTAGGAAGGACGCAGAGATGGCGGCTTACAACAGGCTGGGACGTGCTTGTTCGGACAAGCAGAATAATGACGCAGCTTTGGAGTGGCATCAGAAGAGCCTTGAGATGAGCAAAGTGGATGGAAACAAGAGAGTACAGATAACAACATACGCAAATGTGGGTGATGTATACAGGTTACTGGGTAAACTGGACCTTGCAACATCCCACTTCAACACAGCCCTACAGCTGGCACAGCAGACAGGAGATCAACATGGACAGATGAAGGTTTACTTTAAGATGGGTGAGATGCACAGTGAACAACTCCACTCCCCACGTACAGCCATCCAGCATTATAAACAGGCTCTTGCACTAGCCAGGCGGTTAAAGGACCAGGAGGGATTGGCTTGCAACAGACTTGGACAGATCCATTATGAGATGGGTGAGTATGGTGCAGCTCTGGAGTGGGGTCAAAAGCAACTGCAAATTGTCGAAGAGGATGACAACAAAGAAGGGCAGATAGCAGCACACATTAATGTGGGTAATGTATACATGCGACTGGGTAAACTGGACCTAGCAACATCCCACTTCAACACGGCCCTACAGATGGCACAGCAGACAGGAGATCAACATGGCCAGATGACGGTTTGCTTCGAAATTGGTGAGATGCACAGTGAACAACTCCACTCCCCACGTACAGCCATTCGGTATTATAAACAGGCTCTTGCACTAGCCAGGCGGTTGAAGGACAGGCGTGGAGAGGGATTGGCTTGCAACAGACTTGGACTGGTCCATTGTGCTATGGGGGAGTATGGGGCATCCCTGGAGTGTTTGCAAAAGGCCCTAAAGATTAGGCAAGAGGACGGAGAGAAGAAAGAGCAGATAGAAATACACACGACAATAGGTATTACATGCAGTTTACAGGGTAATCTGGACCTTGCAGCATCTCATCTTAATACGGCCTTACAGATGGCACAGCAGACACTAGATCAACATGGACAGATGAATTTTTACTTCATGATGGGTGACCTGCACAAATATAAACTCCACTCTCCACGTGCAGCCATCCAGTACTACGATGAGGCTCTGCCATTAGCCAGGCAGTTGAAGGACAAGCATCACGAGGGAGTGGCTTGCGAGAGATTGGGAATGGCTCATTTCGAAATGGGGGAGCATGATGCAGGTTTGAGGTTATTACAGAAAGCCTCGAAGATACGTGAAGACGTAGACCAGGGTGCACAAGGAAAAACTCATTCCAATGTGGACCGTGCACCAATGGTACAGTATCTAGAGAGCACTGTAGCATCACAAAATGCAGAGGAGCAGCGTAAACAGATGAATGCTAGTTTCCAGATAGGTGAGATGTTCAGAGAACAAGTCCACTCCCAACGTACAGCAATCCAGTATTATCAACAGCACCTTGCACTATCCAGGCGGTTGAAGGACAGGCATGAAGAGGGACTGGCTTACGATAGACTCGGGAGGGCCCACTTTGAGCTCAAGGAGTATGACAAAGCCCTGGCCATGTATCAAAACCACCTCAAGATGAGACAAGAGGATAGAGACAAGAAATCACAGACAACAGCACTTAAAAACATAGCTCTATCTTACAAGAAACTGGGAAAGAAGGACCTGGCCAAATCCCAGTACCAATCAGCTATGGCCATCGCCATTGAGACAGGTGACAAACTGCAACAGGACGACATTAGAAAGAGGATTGATAAACTGTAGGAACACTCGGGCAAATCTTACTACTACGCTATACCCCAGAATTGGTTAGAAATACTGCTGTGCTTTCCTTTGCACTGTGTGTTAACAGCAAAGTTGTTTGTCCAATTTGTATAGATGTACCGTAAATTGTTTAGTGAAAGAGGAATTGACCCTCAAATTATTGTTAATTAGAGTTTTAGGATATCATATTTTTGTAATGGCCAACACTAAGCCAATAAAGATAGTTTCTTTACCAATGGGAGTGTAGTCATTGCTTGTATCTATTAACGACTGTTCGGCCAGTAGAAAAGCTACTTCCTTCATGAAATGTACAACAATGACCCAAAAATTCTGATCTTTACTGGAGTCATCCTGAAATACTAGAGTTCCACGACCTTCGCCAAATGATGACCTTTATGACTGATCAATTATTCCCCATGAATAAGATCATTTGCATGAATTATATTCTCCACCCAATACCAATCTTTTCTGAACAAAGAAGGCCATTTATTCGTTAATTATGCAAATGAGGCCATAATTTGCAGATATGTTTAATGATGTTCACCTTCACTTACAACATTCAAATGCCCCAAGCGAGTTTAACATTCCAGGTAGTTACCACTACTATGGAATTATAACATTGTCTCATTAATTATGCAAATTAGCTCTCATTTACATGATCAGTATTTCAATGTTTCTTTGTCAAGTACATATGTCACGAGCTAAATAGCCCTATCATGGAATGTAGCTGATTTTTAAAATGTCCCCATTAATTATGCAAATTAGATCCTGTTTTGCATAATTTGTACTTCAGTTGGAATAAAATACATCATCTAAGGTATAAGATGTAACCTTGTTCACGTACCAGTTACGAAGCTCACTAAGAGTCCCACAATGACACAGCTGAGCGTGGCCACCGCTCCGAGGTAGATGTACGACAGTTCGTACAGCGCTGCTTCAGGGGGGCTGGCATGGGGAAACAAGAAAGGCTTTTAAACAGCGATGACGATGTGGGACTCAAATAATTGGTTACCTTGTTGAATTGTGTTCCTTCTAGATCCTCTCAACCTTTTTCTTTAAATTTAAATTCAAAACAACAACTAAGATGAAGACAAAGAGTTGCTGCACTCAACTTATTTTGCCAGTGCCACTTAACAAAAATTCAAATATAAATACAAACAGATAACAAAAGCCAACGTTATCCAATCCCACTTTATCAACTCAAGTTCAATGTAGGATAGTTGACCACTATATCTTTTCCACCGATTCTTAATCCAATGGAGTTAGAACCGCTGAGTCTGTTGAATGAATGAATGAGTGAATGAAAGTTTTTATATGCTTCATAAGCATGGATTAAGCATGGATGCATGTACTGTATGTTTGTATGTATGTATGTGTAGTAGCATATTTCTGGAATTGTAGATAGTAGTCATTGAGAATGAGCCAAAGTTTGGCACTACCGGAGGCACTATTATTTCGGGCAAACATGTGACCAATTCGATTAGGATATATCAATTGTTACATACTACTGATTGACTGCATCTCCAGCCGGAGTGGTGATGTTGTACCGAGCCGTGGTCGTGAGCGTGGCGGGGCTGCCGGTGAAGTTTGCCGTGACGTTAGCGGGCAGATCAGCGGGACATCCTTCGATGGAGATCGGCGGTGCCTGCCTGGACATCGGCCACACGATCTGACCCATTCCGATCCACAGGGTGATGACAAGGCTGAACAAAAGGCCTACCAGACCTCCCTGTTGGTGTGGGAAGTGTTTAAAAAATCAGCTCACATAATCAAGCTTGATGATTAAAATGAGGAAGACACGATCTAAATATGCGAGGAGTTTAATTTCAATGGTTGCTAGACGGCTAGAAGGCAGGGCATTGTGGTCAGCATGTTTCAATGAACTCAAAATGTGTTTTTTTTTCTTACCGGTAATTTTAATGTTGGCTACACGTACGTACATGTCGTTGTAGAGCGTTTCAAAACACCCTATTCAGAACCGTATCTATCTATGCCTATACCTAAATGGGCTATAATTAGGATCTAGGCTACAGAATCGATTCTGGATACGCGTGGACTATATCCAGAACCGTATGCGTGTCTGAGCATTGTTGTGGATAAAGCACGGTTCTCAATACAAAAGGACTACAAAAATCTGTTCTTAAAGCACACCTTAAAACAACGCGTTTCTTCCCTTACCGCATAAATATCTTTACGCAAGCTTTAAAACGTGCTTAATTATAATTAATAAAATTAAAAATAAAGATAGGATTTTGTGCAGTATACTCACCCATTTGTTGGCACACGGAAACATCATCCCGAGCACGAAGATCCCAAGAATCGGTCCTCCGATCATCCCGAACAGACTGATGACTGCTGAGAACACCGGGCCCATGTTGGAGGCGATAAACGCCATCAGGATCGTCAGCAGGCCAAAAACCATGGCTGTGAAATAAAAACAAGCAATATGATGTTCAGGGGACAAATTTAGAATAGCTGGTTGAATTGGGTGGTGTAACTGCAGTGACGTAGGGACCCCCACGAGGCTCATTTTTGAACTTGACATTGGTCTACCTAACGGTAACCTGCCTGCCAAAAATCATGAACAGCCCAAAAACAATGGCTGTGAAAATAAAAACAAAAAATGATGTCCGGGGACCAATTTTGGAATAACTGGTTGGGTGGTGTGACTGCAGTGACGTAGGGACCCCCCACAAGGCTCATTTTTTAACTTGACCTTGGTCTCTCCAACGGTAACCTGCCTGCCAAAATCATGAACAGACCAGAAACCATAGCTGTGAAAATAGAAACAAGCAATGATGTCTGGGGGCATATTTTGGAATAGCTGGTTGGGTGGTGTGACTGCAGTAACGTAGGCCCCCACGAGGCTCATTTTTTAACTTGACCTTGGTCTCCCAACGGTAACCTGCCTACCAAAAATCATGAACAACGAACAATGCCTTCAAGAGTTATGCCGCATAGTCTCCCACACTGCAGCAAAGTGATTTCATAGCCTTCTCGACGAAGGCAATAAAAGACTGGACTTCGATGCACAATTGTAACGTATCATGAGCTCTTTCTCTGTTTGTATGGCTTTTTTCTATGGGCGACACATAAAAAATTCAATTCAATTCAATATACAACACCGAAGCAGCCCTCTCCTCCATATACTTGGCCAATGAGTCCACAGATTGCTGTACGCACGATAAGTATTGTACATATACAACTATTTATACTGTAGTAAGCTGTTGGTGTACGCACCTAGAGCCTTGGAAATCCACGTGTATTTCTCGTCGCTGAGGTTAGGAAAGCAGGGCTTGACGAAGTCCTCCAGTGCCACGGCGGCCAGCGCGTTTAGTCCCGAGTCCATCGTGCTGAGAGCCGCGCTGAACACACAGGCCGTGAAGAGACCAGGCATGCCGGGGAACTGGCTCAGGATGTCCATCACAAAGTACGGCATCATCTGTAAGAACGAGCACATTTTCAATACAAGAAAGAAAACATTTGCAAAGCAAATGCACAATCTTTAGCCTGACTAAATCTGCGCTCCGTGTAATACCGGGCCGGCCGCTAGGAGCGCAGATTTAGTCAGGCTACATAATCTTTAGCTTCGCATATGTTTTGCTCTGTCAATTATTCCTCAAACAAATTCAGATAGTGACAGACATCTAAGTCCCTCCTCCTAAAAAATTGCCTAAAATTGCAACATGATGTAACCCAAGACTAGTAACCATGGTGACAGACGTCTGGTTCAGGTCATTGACCTTATTAGTTTGGAGAAGAAGAGGAAGAAGAAACAATAGCGGCTTGAAGTCGGTGTCGTCCCCCGTCCCCAACCATGTGACGATCGGCTCAACATTTTTTTTCGGCGATCCTTTTTTACCTTTGGAGAAATACTGACATTATTTAAAACAAAATGACTACCAAAACATCTCGTGTTTGTGTATAAAACTTCCTCTTCAACCATTAAAATACCACCAACCCGACGAAACGTTTTCCAGAACAAAGACTGCTGACACGTCGATGAAGGTTAGACATCCAGGTAATAAGATACGCCAAAAAACAGTTACTCAAGCAACTGGATATGGTTTTGGAAACGGTCAGACGTTTCAGCTGGTATCCACTAGCTTTTGTCAGTGACAGAGAGACCAGAGGAGAAATGCAGGTTTATAAAATATTTATAAACTGACGAAAGCTAGTGGATACTACCTGAAACGTCTGACCATTTCAAAAATCATATCCAGTTGCTTGAGTAACTGCTTTTTGGCGTAAAGACAGTTGACAGCCTACCTGATCTGAGCTGCTAATGTATCCCATAGTCTTCGGGTCGCAGTCATAGTACCGTGCGTACATCACCATCCCACTCAGAACGGCGAAGAAGATGAAGACTATCAGTCCCGGCATGTTCCAGTAGAGGGCTCTGTAACACATTTGGAACCGCATATCTCACTATGTTGTGACGATATCTATGTATACCACAATTACATGCCGTTTGGGACCGCATTGTCACCAGTACAACCTAGCTCCAGTGCATTGTGAACCAGTCATAATTGCCCTGATGAAGATGACAGGCAGTCATCGAAATGTCGGTTGTTGTTAAACAAGTGGTTGTGAATGAAGAAGTTTGCTACAGTAATGACAATTAAAAATCCGCGGTGTCAAACTCCAGTTTCAAACAAATCTCTAAGCCCTAAACTGTAATGTTGTTTGCACATTAACGGGTGTGAGAACTAACCTAAACCAACAGCCATGTAATAGTTGTACTAACTAGTGAGCTACCACTCCCATAAAAACATATGTATTTACATTGTACTAGTGTATAGCAATGGCGTTTTAACTATTAGGGCTTGACTTGTCCAACCTTGAGGAGGACAGAGGGCTCAGACCTCCATCTAAGAGGCTTTTAGCTCGTTACTTATTATGTAAACGCTTTTGCCAAATTGAACACTACGGCTGTACTCACAGTTGTGCCTTTTTGATGGACGGGCAGCACAGGTACCTCTGCACCTGAGCCTGGTTCACGGCGTACATGGCGCACCTGAAGAACGCCCCTCCCACCAGGATGTTCCACGTCGTGTGGCGGACAGTCGGGTCTGGGTCAAAACTTCAGACGTATCAACGAAAGAGGAAGAAAGGAAAAACAAACACTGATTAGCTTTCCATCATGCTTAATTTTTACTTTATTAATGACAATGACAATGATGTTTATTGCATATTCATGCCCTTCCGGGCTAAATGCATTGGATGATATAACATACTGGGTGATGCTACTTACTAGTACTAGAACATAGGGCGTTGTATAAGAAGAAAAACAAAACAAACAGCTACTGTATACTATACTTCATCTAACTCTAGAGCTTACAATAGCTTACTAGTTTCTTCTCTCCTCTTAAAACATGCGTACACGAATTCACAGAGTTTCTCAATCACCAGGTGTTTAGACGATGACATTATGCATGTGAACAGTTCGTCATTTGTTAACTTTGTAAATCTCTGGCCCAGTTTGATATTGTTAAAAAGAGAGAGGCGTAGATCTCTGTACAATGGGCATTCCAGGACAAAATGTTTTTCATCTTCTATACAGTTATTTTTACAGAGTTCACAGAGCCTATCATTCAAATTAGGCCACACCGATTTAATTCTATGGATGACATCCGCGCGCGCATTAATTTTCGCCCGATCTCAAAAAAAAAAAAAAAAAGATCACGTATTCCGAGGCTCTGGCCTGGCTTTAGGCCTGGGTAGTGCATGGTGGTGATAACTGTGGTTGACGGCAGCCAGGCTACCGAAGCTCCAAGACTCAAGAACTCAGTACATACGTACAGCAGTGTCGATTCATATATTCCGCAAAAATCCAGCATGTGTCGGCCTGTCGTATACGTCGCTATGTAATGCGCCAAATTCACAATACCAGGTTTGTAGCATTTTTATTTTTGGCCGGATTTTTATTTTTTTCGCCCGCGCGCACTAGTTTGGGGGTCTTCAGAGGATGTCATCCATAAAATTAAATCGGTGTGGCCTTAATATATTTGTTGACTAAACCTTAATTAGATGGGGGTGATACAGGCTTAAAGGGAAATATTTACTCGTGACCTCCTACGAAAATAATGAGAAGAGGGGACAAAAAACAAGCAACACTGCAAATGTAGCACGAATAATATACTTGTGCATAGGACGGGAAGTATTGTTTAGAGTGGCGTTTGTATGTGTGGGTTCCAAAGTGAGTGGGCGCTCAGAAATCGGGTTAAACATCCGAAAAGTTAGTGTGTCGGAACATGCGATTGAAAAATTCACCCCGCGGACTCTCCAATGCAATCCTCAAATCGATTTCACTTCTTACTTGAAGAACTCCAGTCTGTCTCTCCGACGGTTGATTTCCCAGACCCGACCAGGTCCCCCTGCCTCTATAGTCCCCTGGATGATGACGGCCAGGAACCCCGCCACCATCACAACTACCTGGAACGTGTCTGTCCACATCACAGCCTTCATACCGCCCTGGGGGTGAAAGATATGCACATAACATGTCTGAACAATTCTTCTGTAACATATACTTAGAGGATCACCCAATTTACACCCAGATACAAACTAACTGTAACATTTTGACAATCACCCATCCTTACGTTATTGATACTAAACGGTTTGTATTAGATTAACTCCTACATAGCCTACAAAACATGTTCTTCCTTACCATTTAATGATCCATTTCCATCCATTTGCTGTTCTCTGTTGTTTTTTGTCATGTATTTTGTCACTGTATACCTGTATGTCTGGTGGTGAGGTTAAAATTAGCTATAGCTAGTGTACCTCATCACTATGTCTTATCCATATTGAATTGCAAATAATAATAAAAAAAAGATATCAACTTGATGAACCAACCACACAGCGTACATGTCACGGCCACGGTGATACAAACACAGAGTAGGCGATTTCTAACAGTGGGTGCTGATTGGCTGGAACTAATTGGTAATGTGGGTGCTGATTGGCTGGAAGTAATTGGTGAGGTGGGTCCTGATTGGCTGAGAATTGTAATTAGTTTACTAGCTTTAGAGCCATTGTATACGAGCGATTGCCATGACATCACGGCCAGTGAGCGGCAAACTGTCAAAAAGCGGGTACCGGTTGGCTGACTTGCCTGCCAATAATTTGCATACGTCTTCAAATCATTTGCATCTACATTAATATGAAGTAAACAAAAACATCGCTCGCTCGTATAGGCCGTGTCTAAACGGAATCACCCAAACCGCGATTCGGGTAACTCACATTCCTCACATCTGGTCCACGTGCCACACACACCTGTGAAACCGTGTCCGAACACGATACGCTTGAGCTACATTTATTGCTGTATGATGATAACACGCAAGGTGGCGTGTTATTAATGTCAAAGGTCAACGACCTGCTTGCTGATGCCCCCCTCCCAGCGTATCTCGGCCGAATACCGACGTGGTCCCGCCAGAGGCGGTGAAGCTCGCCCTACAACGGACACATTATTTGACCATTACTGCTCTTTAGGTTGCTGCCACGTAAAAGTTGGTATTGCATATGAATAAAGAAATATCACCCCGTAATCCATGACCAGGCGAAGTCACATTGAAATCACATTGCGTTCAGACGCAAATCGCGATGCGGGGAAACCGATTCGAAACCACCTCTAGAAGTGGCTTGGGATCGAGGCGCTTTCAATGTGATTTCGGAGCGTTCAGATGGAGCCACTTGAAACCGGCTTCGGGGTAAACCACATGTAAACCGCCTTGGGTGATTCCGTATAGACACGGCCATAGTGTGTGTCTGACACCTGAAGCTGCTTTAGGAACACGTCACTCACCAAGGCGGTATAGAACGTGCAGACCAGGCCCATTCCTAGCACGGCTCCCCAGAGCGTCAGGCCAGTTACTTGAAACAAACGGGAATTTAAAAAAACGTCAACAATACAGGAAAGTTTCATACGAATGACATGGGTTTAGCGCTCTGTATGATCCATTTTTTTCAATACCAACGTCACGGGGGATCTTGAACAATCCTACTCATACAAGTGACTGTCTTGTGTCGAAATAAAAAAGATACTAACTTAGATACAAAAAAAAACATTGGTCCACTTTCTCATTGGTCGAACCGCTAATTGCTATGCTATTATTGGTCGAGCTTCTAATGGATAGCCAAGATTGGTCTCCTCTGTTCGTGAGTTTACGATATTTGTAGATCTGTACTCACCTGCATTAAGAGCCAGGGACGGCGTGTACAGAACAAGTCCCATGTACACTAGCTACAGGGGGAAAATAAAATCGACTCAGTGTCAACAACAGAATGATGTTACTAATTGTTTCCATTGAAAGCATCTATTCTGGCTGATACGTGTGCTTTATTATAATAAAATTAAAGATCGAAAGCATTATTTTCCTAAAATAAAATTTTTCACTAAGTGACATACTGACCATGTTGATGACGAAGAGGACGGTGCAGAGTAAACGGACAGCCTTGGAGAACCGGATTTCCAGGTACTGGTCATGGACATCAAAAGGAAAGATTGAGAAAAAGTTATTTTCTTTTGCAAATAAAGTCCATAATAATAATAATCTATAAAGCAGCGATTTTTTTCATTTTTCATTCAGCTGAATCATTTCAACTACTTGGCACAATTCAGTATCACAGTGATTTCTGAACAACAAATCAGAGATTTCATACTTCTGGGAAGTGAATATAATTTGCGTGAATGAATTATATCATGTACTGTTCGTACGATCATCTGACGAAATTTTCTCCGCAATTACACATTGCTTTGTTTCGTACATTCCTGGCGACCACAATCCTTGCGCCCAGTGTTAAACCGTGTCAATCAAGCGAACCTCAGTCTCCGCCCGCTCACTCCGGAACCCAAACATACAAACCTACCATAAATTCGCGCCAACCTAAACAATACTTCCGTCCGGGTATAATAAGTAAACGTTAACGATCACGTGCTGTATTTATAGCTCTACAAACCTCATACGTGCTTGTCAGCCCCAGGTTGTAGAAAGTCGGCACGAATAGTCTCGCTACCAACACCATACTTAAGGACCCCGACACCGCGAAGTTCCAGTACATGGTGCCGTTTCTGTACACCTCTGCCGGGGCTGCCAACACCGTGATGGCGGAGATGAACGAGGCTAGCAAAGACATCATGACGGGCAACGTCGGCATGGACTGGTAGGGAGAAGGAAAGAATGCAAAGTTCATATTAGATAATGAATGAATGAACTTTTCGCATCTCTATCCCTCTTCTACAGATACTTTCACGGTCGATGTTCAGGAGAACTTGCACTTCTTGTTCCGCCACTCAGAACCTTTCAGCGTGCCACTAGGTTCTCTTCCAGTTCTCATCAATACACCGTTAACATACCTGTCTCCAAGTCATATTACAACAACAGCTTCTTTCCCCGGACTGCAAAATTATAGAACTCTCTTCCAAACAGCTGCTTTCCGTCCGATTACAATCCACAAAGCTTCAAAACAAAGGTCCACCGCCATCTTCTGACATAGCTACAATATACTCCCTTAAGTACCTCTAGCTCTATGCCTAGAAGTGGCCAAATATAATTGGCCTTGCATTGAGCAATACCGTTAAAAACTAGAAAGGCCAATATTTGCTTTGGAGCAAATACAGCGATGGGTTCACCACATTTTACGACATGGCAGGGAAAGAATGAGAAACACAAGGGAAAACAATGATTTACATTGATATAACTATAATATGAAGTAACATACAACTAAAACAACAGTTGGATAGCTATTCCCTACTTTATTGGTTAGGATTTTTAATTGCATAATGCAAACTATTGATTTTCAAAATAAATAAAAAACGTTCATGCCCCGCATTCCAATGCTGGAGCAGAAAAGCTTGAAATACCTACCAAAACACTTGAATAAAGACATACTGTCAGTATGGAAATGCTCTGTGCAGGTGTTAATCAAGTTAAATCCCAACAGCCAATCAGCAAGAAATGCTCTGTGCAGGTGGAAATGCTCTGTGCAGGTGTTAATCAAGTTAAATCCCAACAGCCAATCAGCAAGAAGTATAGAGGAAAGCTGCATGCCTATTGGTTGATGCCCTGCATTCCATTGTGATGACTCATGCCCAGACGTGGTAAACACGGCACACTAACACAGTAATACATTTGCTATAACACAGCCAAAAAACTCAAATAAAACCATTCTAAAAGCCTGTATCACAAAAATTTAAAAAACGCCTAGGGGTATTTGCCCACTGTACCTCCATACCAAATTTCAGGACCTTAGGCCCTAAAATGAAGAAGCTGAATCCATTCTGAAACATCAGAAAAAGCAATATGGGTTCACCACCACTTCGTGGTGTGGTGAACCCATAAAAAAAATTTAAAAAAAGTATGGCAAGAATGACAAAGCAATTAATACAATTATTCAAGTTTCTTCCAAAACTATGACTATAGAAATATGAGCCTACATGGCGTAATGACATATCTTACGTTAAATACATTGTCTCATTTGTAATGCACTTCATATATATTGGCCTAGGTACGTAGATACGAGTTTGGGACGTGATATAATTAGATTGAAAATGTCTATGTTTGTCTTTGACAAGGGATTAGTTAATTTACATTCTATCATTCAATAATATTTGTCTATCTGCAGTGTAGGCTAGATGAATCATTAGAAAATTATAGACATTGTCTCTGTTTGACTGGTATGTTATGATACCGACCTTTTAAAGATATGTCAGGATACAGACATCTATTGGGATCTAACTGAGAGATTCTACCGGTAAAGAATGCGATAGAAGTCTCTGTCGACAGGAACTGCGATCAGGATCTCGGCCACCGCCATTAAAATTGGCGATTCTACAGGTAGTTAGAGATCTGGATTGTAATGTTTGTTCTTTGCTTATGAATATTCGCTCAGAAGACAGAACTGTGCAAGTGGAATGTCATTTTGCCTTGATTTCTACATGGCATACCACCATAACACATTGGTTGCATCTGGATCGCGATCTATGTCGGCAGAGACTCTTATCTTGATCTCTATCGCGGTAGAATCGGTGATTCTGCTGGATTGTATGACATCTCGACAGAATCCGGTAGCTAGAAGAAAACTGCACGTTGCCCGAATTCCGGCTCCATCTAAGCATGCCTTGAAGCCTGCGTAAAGGTACATTTTGTACCCACAAGGGAAGAAACGGAACCTTAACGCATATTTTGAAGATTTAAAGAATGGATTTTGTGCAGTAAGAGACAAACGGCATCTGAGGTGACTAACCTGGTCTGCCATGAGAAACTCCTTCTGTGTGCTCTGCTTCCCTCCCGTGCATGCGTAGTACAGCCCGATACCTGCCGACACCGCCAACATGAGGGAGAACACGACATAGTCCCACACGCCGAAATACAGCGTCTCAGCCGCCATCGTCACTCAGTACTGGGGAAGGAAGCAAAAATCACAATCACAACACTGAGGACGACACAAAATTGAAGGGGCTAAGTAAAAGACTTTGGTACTAAATAAAAACATTCTTCGGACGCTTGTCACTAAGGCGTACGTTTACTCAGACATTGACATGCTTTCAGTGACCAAGGACAGCAAATAATCCTTGTTGAGATAGATGACCTTACAAAAGTGTACACAAGTCACACACAAAGTACAAGACACAGCGGTGGACAACTCGGGCACATTATTACTTGCCTTAGCCTCACCATTGGCAAAGAAGGATACAATCAAATAACTTCTGCTCTTGTTTAGGATTTTCACTTTTTCTTCGACTGAGTGTTGACATTGCATTATGTCCCAACACGGCCATCTTTTTACTGTTTATTTTTGTTATCATGTTCTTGCAATTAGCCCTCGGGCATGAATTTGCAATAAACTTTTCCACATTTCCATATTATAAAAGTAATCTCCAACTAGCATGGGCCCTCTGGCGAATGGATACTACCTGGTCAATTTGATACTGTCTTCTGCCGCCCTGGGATCTGCTTGGAGATTTGGTGATGAGGGTTGTGTACACTTTCGTTAGGTCACATCAAGGACGTTATAACGTCCTTGGTCATCTGTCAGGTCAGCATTCGGAAGGTATTTCACCATGTAATCCTACATCAAGTACGCATGCCTGTAACCAAGGACGTCCTATCCTTTCCGTAACTCTCAGTCCAGTAGGGAAGACACTCACAGCAGTCCTCAACCAGACGCATCAAGACTGTTATCTCAACTTTTAATTCAACCTTTATGAAATGAAAAGCCGGTATTGTTTTCGATGTGTGTGTGTGTGTGTGTGTGTGTGTGTGTGTGTGTGTGTGTGTGTGTGTGTGTGTGTGTGTGTTGTTTGTGTGTGTGTGTGTGTGTGTGTGTGTGTGTGTGTGTGTGTGTGTGTGTGTGTGTGTGTGTGTGTGTGTGTTTTGCATTTTGGGGATTTGGGTTAACAACTTTTGTGTCATATGAGAACCCATCACCAGTTGTGCTTCGCCATTAAGCAAGATGGAGTCATTTTGACAGGACTAGATCAGGCGGTGGTGGAAGGGGGTCGCTAAGCATGATGGGTAATTTTCTCGGTCTAAAGCGCAGGACTAGATGCATTGTTGTTATAACCGTATTGGTCAGTACTAAACAAGCTTGACCCCATTCGGAGAAAGTGAGGTCACCAAAGGTCAGTCTCCAAGCAGACGTGCGGTGCTGGCTCAGTCTCTGAGTGTTTTACCGTTATATTTACTGCTAGCGCGAATCGTAAAAAAATATGATACTAAAAAGTGTAGTATTAAAATGTTACATAGCAACAGGCGTAAAACACAAACTCAGTCGGATTCTTAAATCAACTTGGAGATCCAGCGAGCCCTACCCTGGAATCCAAACTCGCTGTCCGGGCCGCAAAAGCCCTTCGCCCGCTGGTGTAAATTACCGCTACGGGGGAGTCTAGCCCGGGGGGAGTTTGGCTGGCCGGACCAGCCAACTCCCCTCGGGCTCAACTCCCCCGTAGCGGTAATTTAGGCAGGCGGGCGAAGGGCTCTCGGCTGCCGAAGGAAAACGGCTAACGGCCCGATACTAGTTTGGCATCCAGGGTAAGCGAGCCCTAGCTGAGTGACCCAGCATCAAGTCGAAAATTAAAATTTTAGTCCCCATTATCATACGAATTTCACGGTGACAGCTGCATTGTCCGGTTTTCCGGCCTTCCCAGGGAGTTAAAATATTCTGAATTAGGCAATCTTTGTGATATTCACACATACTACTTTGCATTAACACATTTAAATCGGCATTTCACACTTTTGGCATTCAAAACTGCAGAAACAAGCCCTGGGATTATTTTCTGGGTGGTACCCTAAATCGATCATCAGATCCAGTATCATATTTTCCGTCAGAATTTTGGGAATTTTTGCTCCATGGGGGTCAATATAAATTGGGATAGTGTGGTTTCAACTCAGTATGTAGATAAATGACTAGAATATTGGCTTTGAAAAATCGGGTTTCCAAGCCTTTAAAACTACACTGGATGCCTCTAAGGATAGTAGAATTGACAGAAATAGGATAAACAATTATCCACATGAGCGATATAAAGAATAGATAACATTGTCTCTTACTAGCACGCCGTATCTCCACCAGACAGTAATTTACTAATTAACAACGCGGGTTCAAAATCTTAGCACAATAGGGAGAACAATATCCGGGGGAGAGCCACTCTCCAAGCAGAGGTTTGGGCTTGGGGTTATCTTTGGCGTGTTTTTAGGCTTTTTTTAATTAGGGTTTCTCTTTTGCACTGTAATTTTTTTTTTACCCAACAGTTGGGTTTGGTGGGGAAAAAAATTCAGTGCAAAAGAGAGACCCCGATAAAAAAAGCCCCAAAACACGCTGAAAATACCCCCCAAACCCTACCTCTGCTTTGAGAGTAGGGGAGTGCCACAATTGAGTTCATTTTGAGTACCTACTTAGTTATAAAACCCTAACGGTGGACCCACAGTCCCCTGGCCAGTCAGACCCTATTTTTGTCGAATTCTAGTAAGTATAAAGGTATTTTTTTACAAAGTAGAATTCGGCAAAAAAAGAGTCTGATTCGCCTATTATATACCCCTTTATTACGAAGAATATGCCTGGGGAGCATAACCCACGAGTGACCTACATGGCGACGGTTGTTGTCGCTATTGTCCCCTTTCCGGCTCTACATCATTACAATTTTTCAGTCGGCGTTGTGACACAT